TTTTTTTTTTTTTTTTTTTTTTTTTTTTTTTTTTTTTTTTTTTGTGTACCCTGAGATATAGTTTGAGTAACATAAAAGTATAAGTTCATCAAAGAAAAAACAGCAAAAATGAAAAAATAACATAAGGTAGAACAGTTTTAAACGACAAACAATAAAAACAAACAGAAAAAGTTACTCGACGATATTTCCATTTACGAAAACAAAATAAAGTGGAGAGACGATATTTCCATTTACGGAAAGAAAATCTTAATTGAATCATTTCATTATAAAAATAAAATCGAAGTCCATGATTATATGTGTAATTCCATTCTTTACTAACAGTATTAAATTGATTCTCTTGAATAGTTGGTGGTGGTGAGTCATCTTTATTGCAATGTAGCTTATTATATCGGTTCCAATTATAAACAGCAGGACCTTTATTAAGAATTCGAGGTGGACGTGGTTTATATTAGGTTGGCAACTAAGTCTTTGCGTTTTTTTCAAAAATTTTAATTTTATTTTTGAACTTCAAAAGTACAACTAGCTTTCAGTTATATATGTACCACTAGTATCTATGACTTGTCGCCAACGTTCTGGTAAAGACAGGATCCCGCGTTCGTAGAAGTCCTTGGATTTTTGATCAAAGAAGTTGGCGATATCCATTTTTAGGTCGTTCTCGTTGTCGAATTTTTTCTCAGCCAAATGATGAGAGAGAGAACGAAACAAATGGTAGTCCGTTGGAGCCAAGTCAGGAGAATAAGGTGGATGTGGAATGGTAATCCATCCTAGTTTCAATAATTTTTCACAGGTCGACTTTGCAACATGTGGTCTTGCATTATCATGCAAATAGTAAATTCGATCCTGCTTTCCCTTGAATTTTTCGGCAATCCGATCCAATTGTTGACAGTATAGATCAGCAGTGATGGTGCAACCATTTGGTAGAACTTCCCAGTGAATAATCCCATTGACACCCCACCAGACGCTCAGCATCACCTTCTTAGGGTGTAGGTCAGCCTTAGGTGTTGCTACGCCTGTTTGACCAGGACTTAGCCATTGGCGTCTATGCGTGTAGTTAACATACAATACCCACTTCTCATCACCAGTGATAAGATTGCGTAGCCATTGATAGTTGCGGTGAGATGTGATTAAATTCACACATGCATCAACCCTGTATTGCAGCTGATATGGTGATAATTCGTGGGGTATCCAAACTCCATATCTCCATGTTTTGCCTAATCCGTGCAAATGTTTTTCCACCGCAGTATGGGAGCACCCCAGCTGATCTGCTAAACACCGTGAAGTCAATCGAGGATCTTGTTCGATAAGCTGCTGTAAGAAGTCCACATCCACCTCCAGTGGTCTACCGGGTCGAGGTAAATCGTCGAGTTCTAAGTTACCATTCTTAAACCGATTGAACCAATGTTGTGCCATACGAATAGAGAGTACATCCTCACCCATCGTGCTGCAAATGTTGTTGGCTGCTTCTGTTGCTTTATGATCCAGACGGAATTCATGAAGTAAAAGTATATGAATTTCTCTACGAGAAAGATTCATTTTCTGTTCGTGGTCAGCGTACATATCGATGACTTTATTATCGTTCGAAAGATATTCACACTCCCTTTATATACCCTTAGTATGGAAACTTCTAGAACTTTCTCGAATGTTCTAGAATAATTTCAAAAAAAAACGCAAAGACTTAGTTGCCAACCTAATATTTATCAGACCATAAATATTGAACATCATGTGGTAAAACAATATTAATTAATGAATCATTACCTGTTAAACTATCCATAGGTCGAGTAAAATCTTCAAAAGTATCTTCAATATCAGTTTGAACAGAATCAGAATTAATAACAGATTCACCTTGTTGTTGTGTATCACAACTATCTGCTGCATCTGCATCTTGATGTTGAATATCCAGATCAAAATCATTAGTATTAACTAACATAGATGAGTAATAACCTTGTTCATGTTCACGTAAACATTTATCTTCTAAATTATCAACTTCTAAATTTTCTAATGATTTAATCGAACCATCATGAAGTAAATCTAATTGATAATTTTCACTATCATTTTTCTTGTTGGATATTGTTGAAGTCGATGCAGGAACAGGTAATATATCTTGTTCTTGTTCAAGTTTTTGTGGTTCTTCTTTAATTATTAATTGATGTTGATCAAGAAGATGTGATGAGGAAAAGGAGGACGACGATTGAAAAGCTTCAATAAGTTCACGTTTAAATGTAAACCAATCAGAAATATTTGATTTCTTATATTTAAACCACGTAGCAGCACTATTAGTTAAAAAGTATTGTATAGCAATATATTTATTTGATGTTTGTAATTGTACTCGATCAAATACTTCTTCAATATATTCTAGCCATTGAATAACATCTTGATTTAGAGCACCATCAAATTGTATAACTGATCGAATTAATTCTTCCATAATTAATAATAATACTTCACGATAACAATAAGACGAATAGTAAATTCAGCAGAAACAGGACAATAAAAGTAATGAATAAGACAATGATCAGAATGATAACATAGGCACCAGTAAGAATAATAACTTCAGAATAAAGGTCATAAAGACAAAAGTTAAACCAGAAAAAACAATAGAAATAAATCGAAGACGATCAGGACTAGGACAAAAAAAACTTGACTAGAGGAAAAAAAAAA